AAACATGTTTATGCCACACCATGAAAACTATCCTAAGCACACAGTGATTTCATGCACTTAACAGGCAGATGTAATAATAATATCAAAACTCCCTCAACGAATGATTCTGTTAGCTGGCTGTGGTGGCTTGGACCAGTAATCCTAGCCACTTGGGAGGCTAAGGTGGGAGAACTGCATAAGGCCAGGAGTTTAAGACCAGCCTGAGCAAGACAGTGAAACCCTAAGACCCATCTCTTTAAAACAAAAACAAAAAACAGAGAGAAAAAATAGAGAAGTAATTTTTCTTGCCAATGCAAAAAAATAACCTGCCCAAATCCATTTTAATCTTTAGCACACCACTCAACACTTCTCTCTCTTTTTCTCTCTCTATATACACACACATAATAGACACAAAATGGATATTGAGTGAAATCAATTTCCAAGTCAGGAGGAAAGATTTAACATTACTGCAGACTTAGTAGGCAGATAATTCAAGTAAAAGAGGGCTACACACTATCAACATCTAAAAACACAGGCACATATCCCAGAGGCCAACCCCTTTAGAGCCAAGCAACACTCTAGGGCAGAAGCTCTCCTTCTCTCAGGTGTAACTGAGAGGCCCCTACCAGTGAACGGCTATATATCTTCTCTCGAGAGTTGCTGCAGATATTCTCCAAGTCTTCCTCTGTAATCTCCTCCACTGGGCGAATTATATGTGGAAGGGTCATGGATCTAGAGTGACGACGTCTGGGCATGTCATCTTCCTGAGGACAGGGAACAGGGAACACAGCGTGTCTTTACTGGTGCTCGCCAGGTTGCATCTCTGATACTCTTAGAATTTCTTCACAGAAAATTCAACCTGAAAATCCTCCTTAGGGCTTATAGAAAGAGGGCACATCATAAGCCTACTGTAAGGATAACTGGACACTATTATGGAAATGATTCCTGTAGTGAGAAGAACTGAGAAAACCTGACTCCTGCTTACTAATGATCAAATTTGTTTTTGTGACATTATGTTTGACGTGGATCATCTAGCATTGAAGCTGTTATACCTGTGCCACATCTGTGACACTGGCCCTACAGCTGATGAAGAACACAAGAGCAAGTACAAATGTGGAGAGGACTCACGTTCGTGTAGCCATCCATGGTCTTCCTCCTTCTCACCAACATGTACTTATCCTCTTCCTCTTCCTCTTCTTCCTCCATAGGTAAAGCACTAAGGGACCCAAGGATCCGGGACCTTGACCTGGTAACAGGACGTGCTCTCCGGTCAGGGTTTCTCCTGGAAGCAACGCCCGGGAATGACTGCCTTTGGGGTCGCCTTGATTGCTAAACAGAACACATATGATGGAACCCATTTATTTCATAATTAAGAGAAGTAGCACTTTATTTTTTTTTTTTTGGCATTTTTTTTGGGGGGGGGCAGGGGCCAGGTTTGAATCCACCACCTCTGGTATATGGGGCCGGCACCCTACTCCTTTGAGCCACAGGCGCTGTCCAAGAAGTAGCACTTTAGAAAATCCACACCTTCTCCTTACCTAAGGATGTTTTAAGTATAAAGAAAACTCATCTTCTCATTTTCTTTGTTGTGTCTATAATGCATGGAAAATGAGCCCCAAAGCCATATAGCCATTGTAAAGTCTGCTTTTGTAACACCAAGCCCAGTCAGTTTCTTTCAAATTGAAAGACCATCTGTTTATTCTTCTACCTTATAAAGATGTAAGAACTGATCTTGTGTTCTAACTTTGCTCTGATGTCTCTTGAGCCCTGGAACATACTGGAGGTTTCTCCATCACACAACAGGGGAATGTGGGTATCTATGTTTTTTTTCCTTCCTTCCTTCCTCCTCACGGGGAGGCAGAGAAAAGAAGTCTTGTCTTTTGTCCCACAGCAACATATGAAATTCCCAAGTTCTACTAGCTTAGTTCTTCAGAATATAATCATATGATATTAGACCATGACTTGGTTAAAAATTTGTGTTTTACTTTGTTATTGTCAGATGTTAAAAACATTTCTTTCCATGTGGGAGGAATGTGCTAAACCTAGGGATATAGAAAAAAGTTCACAGTCTTCATTCCGTCTTTGAGGGGCTTAGGATCACTGAGGAAGAGAGAAATAACCAATCACAAGGGAGTTGAGGCCGGGCATAGCACCAATTGCAGCCTGTAACCTCAGCTCTTTGGGAGACAAAGGCAGGAGGTTTGCTTGAGACCCAGAGTTTGAGGTCAGCCTGAGCAATATCCTTAGACCTCTCCCCTTCTCTACAAAAAATTAAAAAATTATTTGTGACTATAGTCCCAGCTACTTGGGAGCGGTGGCAGGAGCACTGATTGCACTCCAGCATGGACAAGAGACCAGGACTCTGTCTCTAAGAAAAGGAGGGGTTAGGATGCCAAAGGAGGACGGCAGAAGAAGGCCGACCTGCATCCTGAAGGTGAGGCACCCCATCCAGAGATCTGTCAGAGGCCTTCATCTTACCAGATCCCCTTCATCGTCTATAAGACTACACGATATGGCTTGGCGCCTGTGGCTCAAGCGGCAAAGGCGCCAGCCACATATACCTAAGGTGGCGGGTTCGAATCCCCAGCCCAGGCCCGCCAAACAACAATGATGGCTGCAACCAAAAAATGGCCAGGCGTTGTGGCGTGCGCCTGTGGTCCCAGCTACTTGGGAGGCGGAGGCAGGAGACTCGCTTGAGCCCAGGAGTTGAAGGTTGCTGTGAGCGTGATGCCATGGCACTCTACCCAGGGGGATAGCTTGAGGCTCCATCTCAAAAAAAAAGACTACACGATAGGGAAGTTGGATTTAAAACACTATATAACAAGCCTATGCCTTAAGCCCGCCCCAAACACCACTATACAAATAAGGACTTATACTTACTGAACTGGGGCCTGGGACGGAACGTCTTCCAGGGAGTGAGCCAGGGAAGCTTTCTAATTCTGACATGAGTTTCGCAAGCTAGAAAGGGAAGAAATTAAGCAGAAATCACTGGCTGAGAATACCTGCTGAAAACGAGCAACTAACTTGTAGAAAATACACCAGCATATCTTTTGGCTTTATATTTAATAAGTTGATATATTCAAAGAGTTTGTGATTTCTGCTCTACATATAATCAGGGCTTTAATAGATTAGGAAGTTAGTTTAGGTAAAAAAACAATTTTGTGTTTTGAAAGCACACACTTAAAGACTTCATAACTATACAGAAAATAATTCTAAGGACACAGGTGTCAGTAATACATCACATATAGGAGAAAATTAGTTCTAACACATTCAAATTCAGATACCTACCATCGCTTTGTTTTGCTTTATATTCAAAGCCCTTTTCTCCAAAAAATCCATGCCGCTTTCATCTTCTGAATCGGAAATGGAATCTGTCACAGAATTCTCTGAAGGTGGGGGGGGCTCTGCTATTTTGCTCACTGCTCCCTTGTTGTTTCGTGCTGGAAACTTCATTGCCACCCTAAGAGGTCCAGAGTGTCTGCACTGGCTCCGGGTCCTACAGCCTTCCCCGACCGACTGCAGCCTCTAGTTAATGGAACAATCGAGTCATTAATGACTTGACAATCAGTGGATAAACTGTACCAGTCTGACTACAAAATCCCTTCTGAACAAAAGTCACTTAGCTCAAACATCAGATGACTGAACACTGACAGCTCTGGGTAACAAAATCAAGAATAGGCTAACTCTATGCTATGCGGGCCACAGTGTTATAAGCTATCTTCACAAGCCACTAAGTTCTGAGACATTTTTTAAAATGTGAAAATTGTGTTTTGGTGCCAGTTTATTAAATTTGAAAACTCCTGGCCCACTTACCATTTCCTTAAAAACAGATCATGTATTTTAAAAGAATTCCTATAAGAACAAATGTGCTCTCCTGTAAACAAGATTTTAATGTTTATGGCAAATGAAACAAAATTGTCTTCTCTATTTTACAAAAATGTAATACAAAAAATGTAAAATTGACCGGGTGCAATGGCTCATGCCTATAATCCTACTACTCTGGGAGGCGGAGGTGGGTAAGATCATTAGAGCTCAGGAAATGGAGACCAGCCTGAGCAAGAGCAAGACCCCGGTTCTACTAAAAGCAGAAAAATTAGTTGGGCATGGTGGGCGCTGGCAGTCTCACCTACCTGGGAGGCTGAGGCAAGAGGATTGCTTGAGCCCAAGAGTTTGAGGCTGCTGTGAGCTATGACATCATGGGACTCTACCCAGGTGACAAAGTAAGACCATCTCAGAAAACAAAACAAAATATATAATTTACCATTTTGACTACTTTTAGACACACAGGTCAATGCTGTTAAATACATTCACCCTGTTGTGCAGCCATTACCATCGACCTGCAGAATGGTCTCATCTTCTCCAACTGAAACTCCACACCCAATAAACAGTTAACTCCCTATTCCTCCTTGCCCCCAGCAACCATCATCCTACTTTCTGTCTCTATAAAATATAAATCAAAATCATGATACCACTTCATATCCACTAATAAAAACTAAATTAGAAAGAAAATACCTAAGTGTTGGCAAGAATGCAGAGAAACTCTTCATACCTGGCCCATAGGAATGTAAAATGATGAGGACGCTTTGGAAAACAGCCTCTCAGCTCCTCAAAAGGTTAAACACAGAGTTACTATTTGACCAGCAATTCTACTCCTAGGTATATGTCCACACAAAAACGTGTACATGAATGTTCACAGTAGCATTATTATAATAGCTGAGAAGTGCAAATAACCCAAGTATCCATCAGCTAATGGATACATGTGGTTTATTCACTTAATGGAATCTTCTGCATAAAAGGAATAAAGAACCGACACTTGCCACAACATAAATAAATCTTGAAATACAGTAGAATCTCTGTAAGTTGACCACCCAAGGGACTGTAACATACTGGTCAACATAAAGAACTAGGCTACTGTACTGATATGTGTGGTGGTACGTGTCCAGACTATGAAAATCTGGTCAACATAAAGAGGTGGTCAACTATGAACATTCTACTGCAATTATGCTAA